AAATACACAACCAATTGAAAGAAATCAAACACACCCTATTAAAAAAAAACGAAAATGGTAAAATTGAACATCAAATTACCAGCAAGGGAATCGTCATCCTAAGACTGCACGTGGCCTACTCCATGGACTGATCGGATTCGAAGGTATCGTTTTTTGGTGAGGAGAAAACTCCGTCGGATTTTTCAATAGCTGAAGAGAAGGCATCGACGATGCGAATCCACCCACTAGGAAAAAAGTGTTGGACAATCGCCGGCGAAATCAAGCTATAATTTTTTGGGTGTAACCGATGTAATTTTTGGGCGAATCTGAGAAGGATATGAGAAAATAGAGAAGAAATAAAAGAGAGAGAAATGAGACGATGAAGAAAAGCAGAGGAAATAAGGGGATAATGATATAGAAAATAAATAACCGTCAAAAAGGTAGAAATTGAAATGAAAAGGAGTCTTTTTGACTTAACTGATAACTAGATTTAATTATGTAATCAATATTTATTACAGGATACAGGGTGTCTTTAATTCCAAACCTATATGACATGTATATAATGAAGGCCCAATAAAAAGTTACTACAGGGCTCAATAATCTTTTCTCTCCGTCATAATTCCCTAAATTGTGTCAATTACTCATATTAATTTTGTTCTATTTTTTTTCTAAAAACTAAAACTGTAGATAGAAAACCACTCAAATAATATGTACAAGAATAAATAAATAAATTACATGCTATTAAAAATATAGATTTTTGTGTCTTTTGTATTAAAAAAAAGAACAATATCTTACTATCCTATGAGAATTTGTTTACACATAATTTTTATGTATTTTTTTATTTAATTACATTGTATAATAAATTTTTGAGCCTATGTACATGCATTTTAATTTTTTTTTTCTATTTGATTATTGTTTTATGGTATTTTGAGATCTTTGTACGCATATATTTGCTTTATTTTTATTTATTGTTATCTAATAATTATTGTTCTACGAAAATTGTTGAACCCATAATTATATATATAATATATATATTGCTATTTTCTATTTAACTATTTTTATAGTTTTCAAGAGCTAATTCTCGAACATATACTTTTAGTTTTTTTATAATACAATTTATTTTTATTTATCGTGTTTTGACACTAGCTTTTGCACGTATCATCGATTTACTTTTTGTTTAGATATTCTATATTAAAATTTTGTATCATGTAAGGTTGTAATCGATTCATTAAAAGTAGGGTAGTAAAAGATTTTTTTTTTCTTTATATATTTTTTTTTTTTTTTTTTGCTGTTAATAATTATAGGTTTTGAGAAGTCATGAAAAATTAATATATGATGGTGATTCATATCCCTACAAAATGCGTTAAGTACCTTATTTATTCAATTAATAGGTATCATTTAAATCTTAAAAGAAAATTTAAAAATGTCAAAGAGACTATAACTGGAATAATTAACCATGTCAATTCAGCCAAGTGGTACAAGAATCTATACTTATATTATAAGCAAACCTATTTACTAAATTCAGTATGTTGAATAGTCAACATTAATTAATGACTTTCTAATCTTATCAAGAGCATTAATTACGTGTAGTTTGGTAAAAAAAAAATATGATAAAATCAAGAAATAAAACGTGTATAGTAAGATTTGATCACAAATCTTTTCTTATCTTTTTTCCAATTTGGACGTGTATTTTTTTTATTTCAGAATTTTTTGTTTATAAAATTTCATATTATTAAGGAAATAAATCACGCATTTGATCACAAATCTTTTCTTATCTTTTTTCCAATTTGGACGTGTATTTTTTTATCACAGATTTTTTTGTTTCCAAAATTCCATATTATTAAGGAAATAAATCACGCTCTCTCTTTCACAAATAAAAACAAATTTATAACTAATATAACTAACACATCTCATAGTATTATACAAGGAATAATTTATAATTATATTTATTTATAAAAGATTATAAGAATAGTTCAACATACTTATCTCACTGACAAATGAAAAGATATTCCACGTTTTAAAATGTTATA